TTGTAAATCTGATATGGAATGACCCAAACGCATTGCGCCTTAAACACCTCATTAATTAATGTCTTTCATGAGCCTAAGGTAAGGCCAAGCAGAAACTCTCTCTCGTAAACGAAATATTTCCTTCAAACAGATACGCACTGTTGGGGGCCAGTGGATGTGGCAAGACTACCCTGTTGTCCTGTATCGTCGGAGTACGTTATCTCGATAGGGGAGAGGTGTGGGTCCTGGGGGGATCTCCGGGCAGCATGGGCTGCGGAATTCCAGGGCCTCGGGTGGGTTATATGCCGCAGGATACCTCTTTAATCGAACAATTTTCTACGAGCGATGCTCTTTATTACTTCGGCAGGATCAATGGGCTTGACGATAAAGAGATCGGTAAGACATCGAATGGATAGGAATATATCAAGTAAATTCTGACAAGTTTAGTTTACTTTTACTTCCAAGTAGGTCCTTACAGCGGTTCTAGTTTTGTATCGCTCGAAAAATATTTCATTATGTCAATTTAAAACAACTACAGTTTATTCATGTTGTTTCCAAGAAACGAGACATAGGTTTTTCTCGGATTTGTTCCAACTGCCTCCACCAAATCAGTTGGTGAAGAACATGAGTGGAGGTCAACGAAGAAGAGTTTCCTTTGTCGCCGCATTGATGCATAAGCCCGAATTTCTAATTCTAGACGAACCCACCGTAGGTTTGGACCCAATTTTAAGAGAAAAGCAAGTAGAGTTGGCTCGTTTTTTAGACGTGATAAGCACAGAATATTAAGAAAATGTTTGAACGTCTTCTTTCTTTACAGCATTTGGGATTATCTGATCCAACTCACGCAGGAGGAAGGTACCACGATATTGATCACGACGCATTATATCGAAGAAGCTAAAAAGGCTAATAAAGTGAGTCCCCACTAGACTTTCCGTTACATTTGTCTCAATAATATTTACGACTGCATTTAAAAAATAGAGGAACTTTCTCGTTTTAAAGTGTACGCCAAAAAATTTCTAAGAAATGTTTTATGACCTGGTTTATATTGTGCACTTAATGCGCGTATCAGATAATGTATTAGAACGGAGCAGACAATGTCTAAACAAATTTACTAGTTGTTTTCATACCCGATCGCCGATTGAATAAAAGAAAGAAAATACTATGTACCAAAGTTTACTTTGTAACGGGGGTAACCGGGGAGGCGCGGCCGGAAGCGGGAAAAAACCCGCATACCACGCGCCGGTGGCAAAAAAAACCCGCATTCCTCGCATTCCACGCATACCGCGAGCGAGAGAGAACACAATAGAGCCGCGGTTACCATAACAACGCGGAGGTGGCAACGCCGCGCCTACCCCCGCCGCCTCCACCCGCGCGCCTATGCTCCGGAGGTATAAAAGCCCCTCCGGAGCGAGCGCGATGATCTAGTCTTGCCTCGGTGCTCCGAGCGACGACACCCGGCAGCGGGTACTTCCGCTGCCGTATACGCCGGTATCACGGGTGCTGCCGTCCGGTGATATACCACTCCGGGGTACACGACAAGTGGAGGCGCTGCTCCGTCGTGTGCCCCGGCCCCCTCCGCAGTAGTGTACAAGAACGGGGTGCTGCCCGATGTACGCAAGCTACTGATCCCCTACCGGTCTCCTATCCATCCGCAGTAGCGTACACAGTAACGGGGTGCTGCCCGGTGTACATATGCTACTGAGAAAATACGCATAACGAGGCGCTGCTCGGGCGTGTTCCTGACCTGAACCTATCCTTCTTTTCCTGACCCCCGACCGGTGTAGAACACAGGGGGGAATATTTGGGTGGGAAATTAATTGTTAATTAACGATAGCCGTAAGCTCCGTAGTGTTAATACCGTCGTTTTTCTTCCTTCCAGAATACCTGAGGATCCCGTAATTAACGTCCTTTCCGATTGTTCCAGCATTACCAGCGTTTAGTATTAGCCTCGAATTATATTCCGATCCGTTTGCGCATAAAGCGTATCTTGTATTACTTTCCTATATTTTGTGACCCAGCGTCAGTTTTGTTTACTTCCGATTAAATCCGACCAGCCGTATCATTCTGTATTCCGTACTCCGATCCGGCCGCCACTCCTGTACTCTGTTATCAATCCGGCCAATTATATTTTGTATCCCGGTATCTCAATTCCCGTCGCGTACTCCTGTACCGTAATTTAATCCGTCTAATTACACTTCCTTTTCCCTGTATTCTGACACAGGGCGTACTCGATGTAATCTATCTAACAAATCCTTTTTCTTTTCCATTATATTTTGACACAGGGCGTACCCATTGTACCTATTAATCCGTCTTCTTTCTTTCTGTATTTAATCACAGGGCGGACCCATTATAATATCCTCGATCCTATGTATTATATCCGTTGAATAAACCTTTCCTATTGTTATACCGAAAAAACCTGTACGACTTATTTCCGATCCCTTCCAAGCGATTGACTCTATTTGCGAATTAAGATCTACTTTTCCTCCTTTCCTCCCGACGGCCCTGGAGCTGAGCATATTCGGCAACAGGAGGAACGGAGGATCCATTCTAACCGACACACAGCACGTCAAACACCGAAACCGAGAACACTAGCTCCTCCAACCGTCAATCGGAACCGCGTGTCCGATTGAGTACATTATTTATTCGAGTAATAAATAATTCCTGCCGGAGTCCTGTCCGGAAACCGGGAGGAGCAAGACGCGTTCGTTACAACTTTTTTAACGTGCCAGTTAACACCGAGTAATAGTTACATAACATCAATACATATAATAATTTTCCACTTAACAAGATAAATGTAATATAACACGCATGTTGTATTATATTTACATTGTTAAGTAGGAAATTGTAATATTATATAATGTTACTTTGTTGTTATTTTGGAGTTCACTGGAATAGGTATTGTAAACCTATCACTCGCAGAAACACTTTGAGGGTTAATTGTTATGTAAGTAGTAACTGGGATCTTAACAAGAAACGAGATAAATACAGGGTGTCTGATGCAAAAGTAGCCACTTTGCAAATAGCGGTAGATTGGGTTAAACTAAGGAGAAATATCATGTACCGAGGTACAAAGTAACAATAGTTATCGACAAAGAAATTTATACGTTTGAGCGAATGAGGATGCAGGAGACGGTAGGCCGGACTCGGGAGGCATTTAAGAAAATCGACCGATGAGCGGGAGGTGGAGCGACGCGTGAGATACACCGTGGTGGGAAAAAACCTAGGTGCGGCGGGGAGCGCGGCGCGGGCGGCGAGCGCGGCAGCGAGCG